TTCAGTTTTTTTCTGATATAGATCATTAAATCCATAGTGCAGATATAATAATAATGATTTATTATTATGTGTATTATATACATGTATATACCAATATGTAAAAATTAAATAATAATAAAAAAGGGGGGTTGCAGGAGCATGTACTAGAAGTATACAATTTTCAAAAAAAAAAAAAATATATGTGATTTAGTTTGATATGATGGTCCAGTCCTGAAATTGATATAAACTATGCTTATTGTTGATAATCAAGATAATCTTCTTACCTGGTTGCAATATTTATTTAATTTAATTATTTATTTATGTTTATTATTTATTTATACATTGATTTATTTTATTTTATTTTTATTTATTTTTCCTCTCTGGGATTAACACAAGTTGTTTGTGTTTCCTGGGGACAATATGGTTCAAAACTCCTCTAACGAGGTTTTCCTCATTGGGATCAACACAAGCTGTTTGTGTTTACAGAGGACAATATTACAAACTCCTCTATCGAGGGTTTCCTCATTGGGATCAACACAAGTGGTTTGTGTTTCCCGATGACAATATTGTATTAAAACTCCTCTATCGAGGTTTTCCTCATTGGGATCAACACAAGTTGTATGTGTTTCCCGAGGACAATATTACAAACTCCTCTATCGAGGTTTTCCTCAATGGTATCAACACAAGTTGTTTGTGTTTCCCGAGGACAATATTACAAACTCCTCTATCGAGGTTTTCCTCAATGGGATCAACACAGGTTGTTTGTGTTTCCCGAGGACAATATTACAAACTCCTCTAACGAGGGTTTCCTCAATGGGATCAACACAAGTTGTTGGTGTTTCCCGAGGACAAGATATAAAACATTATATTGCCAGATTTTATTCTTTGAATTTTAACATTATTTAAGAGGGTGACTGTCTTATTAGGAAAACTCTGGAGATACAAATTACATTTAGCTATACATATATTTCATTATAATTCAGCTAATTTTAACATAATAATTAAAAAAAAATAATAATAATAATGATAACAATAATTTGAATGCGAAAGTACCCTTTTTGAGCAACTAATTTAACCTGAAATTCTATTAAAACGGTGTTAGACAAGGTTATGAGAAACTTACGGATTTATTTTATTTATATATAGTTTACATTACAGATCCGGAAAAGATAGATCTTATCATATCTCTTTTAGTTCTTATTGACCGGGTGAAGCAAATTAGCTCTAGCATAACGTAATTCTTTTTACAGCATCACTAAAGAATTAGAAGTATATAATTTCAGCATATACACCATGCCTCCAAAGAGACAGTTAAGTAGGGCACGAACAGTTCCACCCACTACTTCCCGACAAGGAAAGAAAAGACGGTTGGTAGCAGACCAAATATCGGTACCAGATGATGTGGTGGAAGCGATCACCAAAACTGTCACTGAAAGGGTTACAGCTTCAATAACAACACTTATTAACGAGGTTGTTGACACTAGATCATCGATTTCGGATAATCAGGGGAGTATAGACAATGGTAACGTGCATGCATCTTCACAGATTCCCATCTCAGATAACAGTGTCACGGTGAATTCTCAGTACAGTGCATTTCCCGTCAGCACTGAGTCAAATAAAGGTAAGGGACAAACAGGATTTGTCAGCACAGCAGTGCCAATAGAAGCTCTTGTGTCTGACCAAATCAAGGCCAAAATCTGGTCTAATCAGTGCATTGATTTTGTTAAACTGTTATCAAAGGAAAAACAAAAAAGGGTAAGTTCTCTTAGCAAGTAGAGAATAGTGATACTCAGGGGAAGTGAACCATTCACCAGGTTGAAAACGATGTCGAAAACAACTCGAAATGTTTCTTCTATGCATGACTGGATTACAGCTTGGAACAGGTATGCAGCAATCTATTGTATAAAATATCCTGAACAGCAGTCAAAATTAGCCAAGCATCTAGAGGCAGTAAGAGATATTGCTGATGCCAAAGGTAATTGGAAAAATTATGATGAAGAATTTAGACAACTTGTGTCACAAGGACAGGTGGCATAGGGGATGTTCACATGGAATTGTATGTAAATGCTAGACTCAAAACTGATCTAGTGACAAAAGTAAGTAGTGAAAATAAAGACGTACAGTCAGAGTTCATCCCGAAAGGGGCTTGTTTCCATTATCATGCAGGTAAGCAGTGTCGTGCAGGTTTATCCTGTCGCTTCCAACATAAGTGTTACAACTGTGCTGGCTACCACCCATTTATTCACTGTGAAAAACAAACACAGCAGCCCTTTTGTTTCCTACAAAAAATTCAACCAAAAAAGCAAATAAAAATAACAAAGAATTTGCCAACTATTCCAAACAAAGGGATGACACCAGTAAAAGTAAGTAGATTGGCGGAATGGTTAGCTGGTTATGATGAAGATGAATCCAAATATCTAATAAATGGTTTTTATAATGGCTTTCCATTGGGTTTTATTGGTGAATGCCCCGGTATTGAATCAAAGAATTTAAATTCTGCTTTCCAAAACCCACAGGTTATATCTCGTAAGATACAAAAGGAAATTTTGGCTGGGAGGGTTTAAGGACCTTTTGAAATTTAACCAATACCCGATTTACAATGCTCTCCATTAGGCTTAGTTGAAAAGAAAGAACCTGGGGAATACAGAATGATTCATCACACTCCATATGAGTGAAAAATTCTCGAGAGGAACGTTAAACAATAAACAAACAAATCAATCACAATTTAAGTATCTTGGTTTCAAGTGGAATAACAAATATAATGTGGAATCTTGCTTGCAATTTGGTCTTAGTTCTTCTTGCAGAATTTTTGAAAGATTTTCAACAGCATTACAATGGATAGCTCAGAATAAACTGAAAATATCTTGCATATCCCATGTTTGAGATGATTTTATAATAGTTAATGAATCACCTACTGAATGTGTTAAACAGCTGAAGGCATTCCTGGATATGTTGAGAGATATAGGGGTCCCAATATCACTTGAAAAAACATGTGGCTCCAACCAGATCATAACTTACTTGGGATATGAATTGGATTCAGTTAAAATGGAATCTAAGCTTCCGGATGATAAGATAGATAAATGTGTTATGAAAATTGAATCAGTTTTACAACAACAAAAATTGACACTTAAGGAATTGCAGTCACTGATAGGTTTATTAAATTTTTGCATGTAATGTAGTGCAGGTCTTTTCTTAGAAGAATGATAGACTTGACCATTGGAATTAAAAAAACAATACTATAAAATTAGAATGACAAAGGAAGTAAAAGAAGATCTAAATGTTTGGCTGAGTTTTCTTTCAAATTACAATGGATCTACCATGTTTTTGCCTGATAGGTGGTTAAATTCTACTGAAATAAAGTTGTATACGGATGCATCAGGGGCTATTGGATATTCTGCAGTTCTTTGTAGTCAGTGGTTTCAAGGAAATTGGGATATTAGTTGGAGATACCAGAATATAGCTATTCTGGAATTGTATCCTATTGTACTTGCTGTTCAAACATGGTCAAAATACCTTGCTAATAAATGTATTTTGTTTAACACTGACAATCAAGCATTGGTTCATGTGATCAATAAGCAAACAGCTAAGGATAAACACATAATGTTTTTGTTGAGGAAACTGGTGTTAACCTGTCTAGAATTTAATATTTATTTTAGAGCAATACATTTGTCAAGCAAAGAAAATTTGCTATGTGACTATCTTTCTCGTTCCAAGGTACAGCAATTCCTAGAACTGGCTACTTGGGCAGACAGACATCCAGTAAAGATACCTCCTCTTCCGCCTTTTCCAGCTTGATTGTCGTTAAGGGGAAATTACCAACCCTGGACATTTCATCTGACATTACCTGCTATTTTACTGATGCATACAACATTTATGACAACTTTTAACAATAACTGTTTTAAAATATATAAAGATATATTAAATGAAAACCTTCATGGCGTATACAGGAGTGTGAAAAACGTTCAACTTAGGCAGGAACACGTTTATGATGTCGTCGGACATAATTTTTACACCTTGGATAACCAAATTCAATATCAGTGTCTGAATAAACCTTTGTGACAGCTTCAGTCCAGGGCATATGTTTATCCCTGATTTGGATTTTATTAACAGTTCAAGTGTGGCATAGTTATTCCTTAGGTAGCAGTATTCCTACTAATAAACTGACATGAGTAGACTTACTTTTTTGAATCACAAGCAGGGCATTTGTTTATCTCTGACTTGGAATTTTTCATCCAGTTGTACATTTAGGGCCCTTGGTTTCATTTGCTACAAGGTAGGACATATGTTTATTCCTACCAGTTCATAAATATGTGTGGAACTATCATACAAATGTTTCAAGAGGACAAGCAGGGCATATGTTTATCTCTGCTGATTGGAAGGAAATTATTCCTTTTACAATTATTTTTTTTATTTTTGACAGGTATACTCGCACTTTGCCCCTTTTTTCTTCCTTTTCCTTGGGGTCTGAACTTGATTAAATTTAAATGTATAAATTTAATAAAGTACATGGCGGTTTCAGACCACAAGAAGAATGTTTTTATATATTATGTAATCATTTACGCCACATATTATGTAATCAATGTTTACTTATCAATCATATTCATAATTCGGCTTCATTTTGTTGTGATTTTTTGAGATAGATAATAGTAGCAAATTAATAATTTTATGGATTTCTTTACCAATTATTACGTAATTAATTACAATTATTTTCAATAATTAAAGTCACATTAGTGGCAAAGTGCAACATACCTTAGTTTTTTGTCGTTTATTAAAATGGAGAGTGAAGGCGGTTTCTTGAAATGCTGCGTATAACAATAACTGTGAGTTGGGTCCTTAGCAGTACACAGAAATGTTAGAGAATGAGAAGTTCCATAAATGGGTTATTTTATTAAAAGGAATTCGCATTGGAAATTGTACATAAATGGATTTATTCAAAGTTTAGAATTCTAAATTACTCAGGGACATTATTTATAAAATTATTTCTTTAACTTGTACAGAATTTGAAAAAAAAAACACATATCATATGCACAGTATTTAATTTCATTACTTATTTTTAGTAAAATATAATACAATTGCAGAAAGCTTTCATTTTATTATACATATCAAAAACTTCGTATTTATAAATGATACTTTATAGTTGATGTTCCTTGTCTCGAAATATATATAGCCCAGTTCATTTCAACCCTTTTCAGGACTTGTAAATTCATGTTTAAGTCTTAGGACAATATCTCAAGCACGTCGAGAGGGATTTAGAACAGTTCGATGAGCAAACCAAACGCCACAGAGAATCACTTATTCTGTCGCAGCCTCCTTTGCAGGTGTCGTAGAAGTCACCACATCGACACGTGCATGCGTTTCTATTATAGAGTACGCTGCAACCATCGGCAAGAGATACTACCAAAGCAATCACCAATGCAATGCGTAAGAACATTGTTTAATCCTGAAATATGAAATCAATCATTTTAAGAACAGAGGATACAAACATTCTTCACAAATCATGAAAATAACAATTAAGCCATGTTTATTTATTAAATAAATAAATGTAGCAGCTAAATTGTGATTTTTCATTCAAACTTTCTTTAGATTTACAAATGTAGGAGGGTGACAGCAAAAAAGTATAATCTGAACAATTGACAAAATTTCCATTTTTTTCGTATTTTAGAAATTTCATATTTGCATCATTTACAACCAAAATAGATTCAAAATCCAGGCATCCAGTTTAGATTTGTCTTAAATTTATTTGGATCATGATATGTTAATAAAAATATTAAAAAATACTAATATTATAGATCAACATTTGGACAGAAGGAACAAAGTTAATCTCTCATATAAATAAAAAAAAATAATTATGAATTTCGTAGTGCTAAGACTCAAATGCTCCAACGATACTGTAATTTCTTCTTTTGTGTCGTTGAATATCATTTTTTATTGCGGTCTTGATTTTTACTTGTTGATCATCCGAAAAATAGTTCAGACTTTTGTAAAGCATGTACATGTTAACTATTTACACAATTGTCAGCAAGCGTATATCAAAAGGAATATCGTAGTGGAGCATATTTTGAAAAAAAAACAGAAAAAAATTATTTTATGATCATACCGTTTATTAGAATTATAAAACGTAAATTCAAGAAAATAATCATTTATGCAGAATTGATTTGTAAGTAGAAAATTGTTATAAAATATGTATCATTTAGAATTTAGGGAGGTTACCTGAACAAATTCCTGCACACAACTATGTTGAAATAGGATCTGCAATTAAATCAAGATATCGATGTAATCCCTTTTATTTATTATGTACGTCCTATTTTGGTTAAGTTACCGTTATGTCATTGGATAGAAAACATCACATGTCTGTCGCCTTCACTGATGTACAGAGGTGGGACAAAATGCAATTGAATGACAGTTGTTTACGTCTTTGCAAAAAATTTCCATTCATACGAAACGTCACTAAATGCTAGTAAAGGGATTCAAAGAAGATGGGTGAACAAGGCGTGCAGAATGCCTATAGCTTCAGATATTAAAAAAATCGTATTCAATTTGTGAATTAAGTATTTAAAATATAGTTATCGTTATTGAAATTTATGAAATTATGGTCAACAAAACTTTTCTGAGAAAAAAAAATCTCGGAAAAAATTATTCTTTTATCAAAAAAATAAAATGGCATTCGTGGGATTCGAACCCCCCTAACAATAAAAATCCGGAGTATAATATTGCTTTGAGACTAACACGCTAACCACAACGCCACGCAGCTCCTGGTGAATAGTGGCATTTAAATCATGTTTGTGATATGACCCTTGACTTAATGGACTTCAAGTATTTCTCGGAAAGATGTGAATGCTTTGTCATAAAAGTGTACTTTTGAGGTATAGTGGGTCTTAGCTCCATGTTTTTTGTAAACCAAAAAATGTATATTTTTATGCAAACTTTTAGGATCAACTTTCAAAAAAATGGAGCGAAGACCCACTCATATCGAAAAATTTTGTTGAAGTGTGAGAAAATGATCGTTTTTGTCCTCTTTAGTGTGTGTATGCTATTTTGTAGGCAAATAATTTCAGTCTTTGTGAGATTTTTGTAAGTTGTAGAGATTTAACATAAAATATACTTTAATGTTAGATGAAATATCAAAGAAAATTTTTATATAATTGAGATTTTATTTTTCACTTCATGTTTGTCGCACTATAGGCACTTCGCCCGCCTTGTTCACCCATCTTCTTTAAACCTTATCTCAACAGGGCAGTATTTGCTTTCCTTCACACGAGGCCTTTTAAAGTGTCAAATCCGAGAACCCACAAGTGCAGATTGCTAGGCAGAGGAACAGTTGCTATCTGTTTTTCAATCGAGGTTTGCCGTGGAGGAACTTGAACCCACGATCTTCAGATAACAGAGCGAGCGTTTTACCGACTAACCCAAGTATGAAAAAGTTGCACGTACATTTTCATTTGTTTTCATTAAAACCAGTCTTCTATTGGAAGTATCGCTTTTATATATCTGCATGTATTTCATGTATTTTTCAGCCATGCGTCATAATATCATATTAAAAGAAAGAATTACATAATTTTGTAATAATTACAATCGCACACTTTTACATATGAATGCCAGTAGCTGGTGATGGATTGTAAATTAACACGAACACTTTTAATATCAGAAAAATGCACCAGGTTCAAAATTCTCTGCAAATTTTATAAAGTAAGTCCTGAAGAAATCAACTGCATGTGGATATAGGGGGAAAAACAATATAAAAATATTTTAAGTTAACGATAAAGTTAACAGGTAAGGTGTCTGTTGTAATTTTGTCTGCAATCTTTTTACATTTAAATTCCCCAAATACTGAAGCAAATTTTACAGAAATTTTTGCAGAATTTTTTTTTACCACATCTGCCTTCTCTCTCTACCTATTGCATTGATTTAAAGGATAGAATCAAGTTTAACAATTAATCAACATTAAGTAGATAGACATAAAATTTGATGTCAAGAACAGAAATTCTTAATCAGGTACTTAATCTTCAAATTAAACAAATTCAAAAGAAGATACAAGATATTTCGTCTGTATAGAAGGAAATAGGAAGGAGAAAATGACAGTTGGATTTTTCAAATATCGTACATTACCGTTCAGCAATCAAGTTTATTTTCAGGAATTTTATTTTTAAAATTGAATTTAATTAATAAAACGTAAAAACGAAATATCTTTGGCAAATTTTCCAAAGCAACCCGCATGACCTTATTTCTTTGTTTACAGAAATCAAAACAGGTTGATATCATTTCTAAATTATTTTTTTAAAGTTTACTTTTATGGGAGTTAGAAAATATTAAAGCTATTAGAATCAGATTTGGTAAAAATACTAAAGTCTTCATTTTTACCCCTAAACATTGAGAAGATATTAAAGGAGAAACCGGTGTCAAACTTGATAGATCATGATATTTTTTTCTGAAATACCTAGATGCGTTTTGATATTTTTGCCTCATGCTACAAAACTCTTAAAAGATATAGGAATTTTGATAAGCAAATATAAATTTCTTTATTAGGGAAATGTTTCTCGTTTGTGCGTTATGTATTTCATGTTAAAAAGTTGTAATCTATCAAATAAACAAATATGTAGCTTAAGGCTTGTTGATAAAATTAATTAACTGCATAATCATTGGAACAGATGCAAAATTGATATGGAATAGCAACTTTAATCACGTTCACATCAAATTGTCAAGGACTAAATTTGATAAATAAAACTTGGAATCCCCGATTTCCAAAAAAAATTGAAAGAAGTTTAAAATTGTGTTTGTTTTGTAATTCACACATGATTTTCTTTTCATACGTTGTAATTCTGATGGAAATTTTAAGTTTTTTGAACTGACTTAAGGATCCCTTGTAGATATGTGTGAAATAACGCGCAATTGCGCAATTAAGAGGGCTGGGTGATTGTGGCCATTTTCAGACTATATTGATCTCCTTTAGAAGAAGAGCTCCATATAAAGATATACAAAAATGATCAAATTTTAAAACTAAAATGTATGAAATTTTTGTTTGACAAATGATAGTTGACAGCTTAAGATACAATGTCTAAAAATACAAGTTATATCTGATGGTTAATTTGTTGACCCCCCAGCCTCCTTAAATTGCTTCAAACAGTAAATAATAAAAAGGGTAGATGAAAACTATCTTAGCTTCTTTGTGGTCCTCTTCGGCCGATCACAGTTGATTCCATGTGAGGCATCCATAAATGCAATCATTTGGGAACACTGACGCGACCGACTACTATACTAAGCACTGACAAGTTCATGTAAATTTACCTTAACATATTAAGTATTAACGAAGAGTGATCAAAAAGTTCGCGAACTAATTGAATTATTTCCATTAAAGAAATAAATTAGGTTTAAGTGTTCATTATTTTTAAAAGTAGTCCTTTCCAATTTTAATGCACACCTTAAACCGTTCTGCCCATGCGCGAATCACGTAATCCAGGGGTCACGTGACAAGCTCCATAGCGTTCTGTTCACAAAAGCTAAAGGATTTTTTCCGAGCCTTATATTTCTTGCCATGCCAGTTATTTTTTATAACAAGAACTGTCCATTTGTCAGAAATGGCAAAATCTCGGCAATAGGATTAGGTGAATAAGGATATCCTTTCCCAGAATGAACATGGTGATCATCACAACCCGAGTCATCTGTCTTAAGAACGTCGTTTATCCAATGTGGATAAAGTATGGGCGCCTTCTTATTATCATATCGGATATGTTTGAAGTCTAAAGTAAACGATATTTTAGGGATTTAATAATTATTTTATTGTTAAGATATTCAAACATTTTCCTAACTGTAACTTGGCGATCTTTCATAAAAAATTGTTCAACTAAAGATACATCTCTTCCCCAGCTTGCTTTCAATGGGCAACAGAACAAACGCCATTTTTAACCACCTCCTTTCCTTCGCTATAATAATCAATTCAATGAATGATTGAACTTCTGGCAAGTTTTTTGTCGACATAAACCTTGTACAAATTATTATATGCTACTGCAAAAGAATTTCCAAGATAAACGTTAAACTTTACAGCCGTTCGTTGCTCGAGTACGACTGAGTCAACCATTTTTTGTCACAAGTCATCTACATATTGACGTCATTTTCACATTGTGACGTCACAAACATGGAGCAAACCATTACATATCATATGCTATGTGAAATTTCATTCTAACTAATCCTTTGAATCACTGCTGGAGGAACTACAAAACACAGAGGATGCCAGAGTTATGCATACACAGTTTTTATACAATAAAAAAAAACACCAGCTCAAGTTTTGAAATTCTTTACATTGTGTAAAGCTTAAGGTTCTGGGCGTTCATGCAGCCACTATCTTAGCAAGTGTTCATTCTTATTCCCAAAGTGAAGAAAAGTATTTTGCAAAGGCAAGGTAGATAATGGGTATAGATGATAGCCATTGCAAAAATAAAGATGACATTTCATCCAGTAAGAATGCCTTAATGGCAGGGTACAAATGCATCAGTCTCCGTGCATCGATGCATTTTTATCAATCCATTCTGTTCGTATTATCATTTTCATTGGTAAAGCTAGACTTTTGCGAGAATCGCTGACTTTTACAATAGACATCTTACTTTTACACTAGGACAATATACGGAAGCTCTTTCGCAATATAAATATTTAACGTAACAGTTAATCAAAAGATAATAGTGAGTCATTTTAAAGCACAAATTAAGTTTGCTAGGAAGGGAATGGCAACTACTTATCCTCAACCCCCTCCCTGGCCAACTCCTACCTAGTTTTCCTTCTGGGATGCTTTCATTCCTTATTTGATTCTTTCAGAAAAATGAGAAAGAAAGGAGATACTGCCCCTCACAATTAAAGTATTTTAGTTATGATACTCTGCCCCCATCATCCATTGTGTTGACTGTATACCGGTAAATCATGTTAGCGCCACCTAACATCATACCTATAACCACTTTAAAGGTTTATTTTAATCTATTATCAATTCCGTACCTCCGTACACAACACTGGTTTAAATGTCAAAGTAAACCGTCGACTGTAAAAGTCAGTGCTTTTCGAGAAAAGTCCAATGGTAACATGATTCGCTCTGATGTTGCCCACAATTTACAAGCACCTTTCACTCCCTCATCACCGTATTCCCATCAGGCCGTTGGATTATCTACACTCCGTGTTTCTGATGAGACAAAACTTGCTTTCAATCATGATGGAGAAGGGTTAACATTCGAAGGACTGGTAGTTGACAACTTGGAGACTCCTATTTTGGCTGGGATTCCATTTTTGGAGGCAAATGACATTATAATCAGACCCATCTGACAGGAAATCAGAATCGGCTACAGGTGTGTATTCCTCCTTAAGTTCAGGGAGGACACTAATCCATTCAGCTTACATAAGTACTTCGAGCAGTAGAAGACCAACAATACACTCAGC